ACAGATGTGCTTAGGGACATGGTTTAGTAGTGGGCTTAGCAGTGGTAGGATAATGGTTGGACCTGATGATCTTAAAGGTTTTTTCCATCCAAAATGATTCTGTGATTCTTTTGTATTCAACTACCTCCTCTGTGTAGTGATAATGACTCGTACACAGGCTTAGACAGAGAATAGAACTCAGTAATCAATTTAACCAGTAAACGTAGACCAGTCCCATTAGAAATGTCATCATGATGTCTCCACCACAGGATGAACACATGCACACAATCCCAGTGATTTTCCCTGCAAACCTTTACTGTGGTGTAATTTCTTAACACAGCAGCAACGGTTGCTTGCGACACGATGGAGTAGACTTAGTCTCCTAAGTGTGTGTATGTCAAATCAAAACACAACCTGATGGAGGAAAAAAGATCCTGTGATGAAGCAGCCATTTGTGGGGTTTGTGCATAAATTATGACTAAAATTCTGTGAACACCTTGCATAGGGGATTAAGTTCTATAGAAACAAAAGGGAGAACTTAATGCGGGTGGGTGGGTGGCCTAGCATATGTGAAAGTCAGAGACTCTTTTGGGTAACATAAGATTTCAGTGATATTTTGTCCATGCCTGGAACCCAGCTCAACTATCACTCTGATGGTTCTTTTCCTATTGGGGCCCAAGAGGTCTTTATGTGAAAGAACTTTCTGAAGAAAGATACGTTGGATTATATGATACCACTTATCAACTAATCATTGGTGCTTGAAAATGACTTGCTGTGGTGACCTAGCAGCCTACAATCCTTGCAAAAATATTGTTCTTAGAGTAGATCTGTGAAAAATGCAAGTAACATTTTAAGATATATAGAGAAGTAGGCCACTAGCATGGCCAAGGTTTGAGCTTTCAGAGGGTTCAGGAAAGCTGTGCACAAGTAATTAGGTCTGAGTCTTGCTTTGAAACTTTTTCCTGGTGGTGTCCATCTCATGTTGAGTTAAAAATCTGTGAAATTGTGCTTTTCATCTAAGGAGAAGCACAGCAGGAGAGGGAAGATCATTTCCTTGTAGGTAATCTTCAGAGCATTCTTCTGCCAACACAGCAATGATAGGGCTTAAAAATGTGTACCAACTTGTCTGGACAGGGGCTAGGTCAGTGTCAAGATGCAGAAGTGAGCTCTGGAGTTACACAGAGACTCTCTGGTTTGAGTGAGAAATGGCTTTTCTTTTCTTACTTTTGAGATAAAAGAAGGAAACATATGTAGAACCTGTTGTATAAAATGTTTCCTTTTGGTATGATCTTTCAGAAGGTAGAACACAGAACAACCCAATACCAACCACCAGCGCCCCACTGGTGTGGCAAATGGGCACGATCCCTTTCTAGTAGAAACACTAAGGGCAGCACACAGTCTTTCTCTGGCAGGTGATCAGCAGAGAGCTGGGTACTTTTACTTAGCAGACTTCATGTTTTCCTTAATTTCAAAATATGCAAACCTTAAGCTTTCTTTGTATGGGTAATTTATGTCCAAATGACCACCAAACCATGGGGTTTGCTATACATAGTTTGTAGCTTGCCGTGACTGTCACAGACAGTGGAGACTTACCACTGAAGTCAAGGATAGGTTTTGACTGGCGAAAACATTTCTGGCTTCTGGGTGAAAATGAAGAATCTTCTAACGTATTCCCTCCACACACACAGAGAAAAATGTACGTAAATCTTGTATACAACATAGTACATCACATTTTGTGTACCTAAAAGTTAAATTATATACACATTTTATAAGCAGTTATTTTCCAAGCACAAAGGCTGAGGCACTGTGCAAAAAAAGGCACAATTCTAAGCAGAGATACAACTCTAATCTTTGGACTGCTGCAAAACCCCAAAATCACACTCAAGAGCTGTTTACTTTTATCCTTTTCTTTCTTTTCTTTTTTTGGCCTGTGGCCTCTTGCACACCTCAGGAATTGGGAAGGACTGAGGTATCTAGGCAAGTGAGGTGGAAGGCTCCCACAGACCACTGTTTCACTGCCAGGAAGAGGTGTGGTCATAGGTTCTTGTGAGAACTACTGATCCCACTTAGAGCAATACATGAGCCTGCATAAAGCGCCACCACATCTGACCAAGATTCTAGCAGACATCCTACAGATATGGATTACAGGAAAGATGTACCAGAATACACAAAAGTAGTAATGAACAGTAATTCTGGAGCATCAAATAGAGGTGGTCGTTTTACAGAAAATATAATCTGCCAAATAAGATCTGAGTCAGCCACATCAGCTTCTTCTGCCCTGTTCTACAGTGCATGCTCTGCACTTGTGGTGGTAGAAAGCTGGAGGAAAAACAACCACCTGCTCTTTAGACGTTTACTTAAAGGAACAAAGAGCCACTGACAGGTGACTATTAGCTCCATTCCATCATTCCCTGACACCCAGAACAACTTCTTAGAGAACCTATCAGAGCTTTCCTGAAGCCATTGGGAAAGCTTATCTCACTGATTCTAGCATTTCAAAATGCCTCAAACCAAAACCTCCTATTTCTTGTTCAGACAAGCTGAAAAAAGAGCTCTGTGGAGTCCCTTCCCGGAGGAAAATGTGAATCTTCAAACCAGAAATCCTGCTTCTCACAAGTGTTTCAGTGATTATATCATTCTCTTTAGTCATATTGCCCCTTGGCCTGGTAAAGAGCAATGATTAAAACCTCTCGTTCTCTGCAAGAATCGGTAGTAGTTTGTAACTTGCAAGGATCAAACCATTAGTTCATTCAGGAATGAGCCCAAGAAGACTACTTAGATTATAGCAAATGTACGCACAGGCTTTGTTCTTACTGAAAATAAGTACTCTGACTGTTGAAATTGGTAATGTGAGCTCATGCCCTCTTGCAGAACCAGTTTTAAGGTCTTCTTAAGGACCTAAAGGCTACTGTACCAAGAAACTATGCAAGCAAGGAAGCCCGACGTGAAAATACATATAAAATGGTACAGATTGTACCAATAAAAACCAAGAAGCACACCAAGCAACCATCATCAGGAACCCATAAAGAACTGATTCACAAACTCAGAAAGCCTCCTACAGAATGCACTTTTGTTTTGGTGTTATATGAGTTGCTAGAGTGGCCATGAAAGAAAGCCACGAGGTAGCAACAATCCCAGACGTACCAGAGATCTTATACTTGGGCTGGTGAACCTTTGCCCTGGAGGTGAGCAGAGATCTTTCAAAAAATCACTATCACGCAACAAGTGAACACACGCAGCAGCATTCTCAAATAACACAAACACTATTGCTGTGAGCCATTAGGCAGACGGCCCCTAGACTGCAGGCTTTCCATCAGACTTTTTCCTACACATTTACAGCTACTTTCTTACAAAACTTCAACCTTCTGAAGTTCCTTAATAACAAAATACACTTTTAAAAAATGTGCCACTTAAACTCGAATTAAAGTAACCACTTGATGTACTGAACATTACAGTTCTGAGAAATAAAGCAATTCCATCTTTAGCAATGAGGCATCAAAGCACCATCCAAAGATGCACATCATTGAAACTGTCATTCCACAAAACTTTTGAAAAGCAGTTTCATTAAGGAAGTAGCCCTCCTCCCTCCCTCTTAAAACAATGCATTAATATAGCTACAAATGGCTAGAGAGATGAGAAACAGAACCTAAGTATTAGAAATAGAAGTAATTTATAGTAACATGCTCTGTGAACTAAAACAGCTTTTGGAAACCAAGCCCATTCACCTGTCTAAAGGAAGTGGATTCAGACTATGTTAAAATATTGACAACATCCATGGAACATTAACATTGCAAGTCTAAGCAGAACCGTCTTCTCTCCGAAGCTGCTGCTCTTGTGACTTCCCAACCAATTTCACTCTCTCATTTTATTAAATAGAAGATTAAGCTGATGGTGAATTAACTCCCTTTTCTCCGTACCTGTCAATTCTTGCTGCTTTGAATCTCAAAAGATTTGCATTTATTTTTTTTTCCATTAAACTGCAATTGCAGAAAATCTTCCCTTCATTACTTTTCACAGTTCTCTCTTTTTGCCTACATTTAGCCTGTATCCAGGGCTAAACTATTAACAGTCGCTCTATCACCTGATGACCCCTCATCAGCCACGGAGGGGAATGGGGAAAAAGGAGAGCAGACCTGTGGGCAGGACTGAAACACCACCACCACCACCGGAGATATACAAAGTTATACTCAGCCAAATGAACATCCAGCCACCACACTCAACAGGAGAACAGTCTTCATAAGAAACCAGAGGAGTAGGAGGAACCCCACCAGGAACCCCACAGGAGCTTCCCCTTCCTTAGGAACCTTCCCCCTTTATAATGACCATGACACAATGGGATGGGCTACACCTGCAGCTGACTCAGGGCAGCTGCCCTGGCTGACTTGAAACTGCTAACGGCCTGCCTAGCATGGCTGGGCTGGGATTCTGTCCCAGTCAAACCAGGACGATTTTCTAGGCTGAACTCTTACCTCATTTATCCTAAATAATCCTGGTCTGTCCTCTGGCCATCTGATACTCCCAAGACTTTAGACTTCACAAATAAAGGCTTTTCACTTTCATTATAGCATCATAGACAACCATCACTCTTTAATCTCACAGTTCTCACTGGTCTTTCTTACCGCATCTAAAACATCCCTTTTAGCACAGTTCCCTATCCAGACTGTCTGTATCATGGCATGTAAGTGTCAGGGGACTTGAACACAACTTTTTTTTCATATTCTATAGGGTAGAGTCTAAGTTTCCTCCGTGCCCTGCTCAGCATAAGGTCAAAGAAGTTACCACTACACCGACATAGTACATAGCACAGGCATGTCCATGCACATACAGATGGATTTGTTTTTTGTTTTTGTTTTTTTTTTGAGACTGAGGAGGTGGTGTATTACCATCTCCTTGCCCGTAAGGAAAGGAAACACCATCTCTACTTCTCACCATCTAGCACAAAATAACAAAACATCTCAGGCTATCAAGATGCATTATGAAGTTACACCTTGTTAGTTAACAAGAAGTACAGAAAACTCAGGTCAAAAGAAAAAAAAAAATAGTGTTTTATTAACTACCACACTGTTATAATACACTTTAAACGTACAATAAGGTAGCCTTTAAATTTGAGGTGGTTTTAAGAATAACAAATGAACAGATTTCCAAATGTTTGTAAATAGGTGAACTGCAGTAATTATTGTTGTACATTTTTTGAAAATGGTATAGCACTTACAGACTGGCTATATAACTTCATTTTGTACATTTTTCTATAATTGAAAATATAAACAGTAATTAAAAAATAAAAAGAAAATTCAGCATAATAAAAAACATATATGTTTATCAGTTAAATGTACTGGATACATACAATTTTTAAGGGAAGAAGCAAAAAAGGAAAGATGGCTGATATTTAAATGCAGATTGACTAACCAAAAACTAAACAACAAACAAATAAAAACCTCATAAAACCCCTAGTTCACTATGACTATATCCATATGTTTGGGAGTATTGTCAATATGGAAGTGATTTTTCTGTTGTATTTGCATATGTTATATTTTACTGGTAATTTACATGATGGCTTTTAAGGCCCTGGCAGACAGATGTTTTTTGGAAAAAGATTTGATAAAAATCACTGCTGAGACGCAATACACCTTATTTTTGGTCCTCCAATGTTCAAAAGAAGGGATATACTTCACTATAACATTTGCCTTACCACCAAATGCCTCAACCTATACATACTTATTTTTTTTAACATTTTAAGCTTTTTAAACATTGGTTATATTGCCCACCTTGGTTATTGAAAGAATATTAACAAGACACCATTTTGGCAAATTAAATCTTAAACATGGCTTTTCAATAGGATTTAAAAGGTGACTATCCCTAGAGTTCCATGTTAAAATGTAGTTTTCAAAATCTTACAAGAGTAATGCTTAAAATATTGTACATAGTTAACCTAATTAAAATAATTAGCTTCAAAATGACAAGTTGATGAGCTAAGTAAAGCCTACACTATGTAACATTTGCTTGGAAACTTGATTTGTCAGTTATGCATAATAAAAATTCCAGTCATCAAGAAAATTACAAAATTTCTTTTATCATAACATGATTTCTTTTCACCCATCAACTTCTTTTATCTTACAATAGATAAATACCAACATGTTCTCATTTTTTTACACTAAACCACACAGGATTGATGCATTTGGTTAGACTACCATTTCCATCGTTAAATTCTTTTTTTTTTTTTTAATATAACTTGGTAAAATTTCATCTCTTCTAGATTCCAAAAGTACCTACAAAACCCATGCAATTTTACCATTTTAATATACTATGGAATATCATACAAAGTAAGGCATTTCAGTGTCATGTATAACCAAGTTACTGTCAATCCAAAAATTTTTGCACATCAATAAAAAGTTATCTAAGAACTTAGGAACAATATTCTTCTCACTACTGTATAAAAATAACCACAATTAATAGGTATCTTGTGTAATATTTACTCCATTGTCTCGTTTCCCGAAACTGTGACAAGCTGTAAAGGTATTTCAGTGTTGGTAAGAATATCCTGATTGCTGGTGCCAGATGTATTAACAGTTCCTATTCCTGAAACAGAACCTTGTTGAATATTTGCAAGGATAAGTGTTGTTCCTCCTGCAGTAATCAAAGTATCATCAGGTGTTGCTTCTACTGATGCCAGCACTGTACTGCTAGAGTGAATACCTTTTTTATTCTGATGTGTTTTAATGTGTTTGGCAAGGTGGTCACTTCTCATGAAGCGTTTTGAACATTCTGGACAAACAAATTTCTTCTCACCTGTTACAGAAGATAAGAAAAAAGATGTTTTCAAGAACACGAAAAATATCACATGTACATCAAAAACTGGAATTCTAGCAACATCTATACTGAAGAAAAACGCGATCCAACATGAGAAACTTGTGTGTTAAATTTCTAGACACCCATACAAATCCTTTAAAATAATTTATTTATTTTTCTATGACTCACTGAGTTTAGGGAGATCTTTCAGGCAAGCTAAAGAATATTGCCATCTCATATGCTCAGGTTGCTAAGTCTTACTGCAATTATTACCAATAGGTAACTTTTAAGAGGAGAATAGAGCCTGCCAAATGATGGACAGGGAAGACTACACGAGCTCTGGCAGAATCACACTTGAGACTGACTGACAAAATGATAGCGTAACTCAGGTTTGAAGAGACCTCTGGAGGTCTCTAGCCTGATCTCTCTCTAAGAAGGGTCAGCTATGAGGCTAGACCGAGTTGCTCAGGAATTTACCCAGTTTGATCTCAAAAACCTTTAAGGATGAAGACTACAAAAACTCTCCAGGCATCCTGTTCCAGTGCCTGGCTGTCCTCACAATGAAAAAGTTTTTATTTATATCTGGTCTGAATCTCTCTTGTTTCAACTTGTGTCTGTTGTCTCTCATCCTCCCACCAGTGCAACACCATGAAAAGTCTCTCTTTGTCTTCTTAATGGTGGCCTTGCAGGTACTAGAAGGTTGCTATTAAGCTCCTCCCTCCCCTTACTGTTTTCTTTGCGCAGCTGAGTAAGCCCAGTTCCTACAGACTCTCCTCATAAGCCAAATGCTCCAGCTTCCTGATCAGCTTGGTCACCCTTCAGTGAAATTAATCCTGTTGATCAGTATCTTTCTCGTATTGGGGGCTGAAAACTAGATGCAATATTCTAGATGCAGTCTAATCAGTGCTGAGAAGGGGATAATCACTTCCCTAGAACTAGTGTCTCTGCTTCTGTTGATACAGCCCTGGCCATATTTGCTGCTGGCTCTCACTCATGTTCTAGTTGTCTGTCAAGACTCCCACCTGGTTTGACTGGGACAGAATCCCAGCCCAGCCATGCTAGGCAGGCCGTTAGCAGTTTCAAGTCAGCCAGGGCAGCTGCCCCGAGTCAGCTGCAGGTGTAGCCCATCCCATTGTGTCATGGTCATTATAAAGGGGGAAGGTGGGCTGAGAAAGGGGAGCTCCTGTGGGGCTCCTCCTGCTCCTGAAGACTACTATCCTGTTGACTGTGATGGCTGGATATTCATTTGGCTGAGTATAATTTTGTGTACATGTGTTGGTGGGGTTTTATTAAATCTGTTTCACTTCAACACACAGGTCTGCTTTCCTTTTCCTAATTCCCCTACCTGGCTGGTGAGGGGTCAGTGAGTGATAGAGCAACTGTTATAGTTTAGCCCGGGTACAGGCTAAACATAGACGCAGGTACTTTTCATTAGAGCTGCTTCCCAACCAGTCAGTGCTTAGCCTGTGTTGCTGCAAGGGTTAATTCCATTCCAGGTGCAGTACCTTGCATTTATCCTTGCTGAATTTCATACTGTTCCTGTCAGCCCATTCCTTCAGCCTCAGTCCGTCTGAATGGCAGCCTTGCCCTCAAACGCATTGACCAGTTGCCCCAGTTTGGTGTCATCCACAAACCTAAGACTGTACTCTGTTGCCTCCTCCAGATCAGTGATAAAGATGTAAAAACAGGTCAAAGGATAGATCCCTGCAGTTCTCTACTTTCTATTGGTATACAGATACACTAGGAACCACTAACCATACCCCCCTGAGCCAGATCATTCAATCAGCATAACATCCCAGCTGGGGTTCAAGCATCCAAGATGTCTAACAACAGCACATCATTAGGTACAAAACATGAAATATTTTTCATAGACATTGTAAAGACAGTTTTCTAAGCAATGTACATGCTGATAAGCACATAAACTATTTATCTATTGTCACTGGGTTTTTCAAATAGTCTAATTTTAAAAGGTAAGCATCCTGTAGAATGTAATTATGGGCTCCTATAGCAAAACAGGTAATATGGATGACATTTGAAACATACTGCTCCTTGAAAAGGTGGAAGATCTAGACTAGTTTATTTTCTTTGTATTAGACAAAAGGAAAAATGTGAACCTGGAGTGCCTAATGGGTTGTCTAACTGTGAAACTAGAAGATGTAGAATGATGCATTATCACATGCTCTTCCTTGATTTTGAGAATGACATACAATCTCTTGGACATCTAGCCCTATAATTGTTTCTCTCACAAAAGGAGGGAAAATTATTGAAGTTTTAAGCTGGAACAACAGTTCTAATCTGGTTCAAACAAATGAAATGCATTGCTGATTAAGCTCTACTAAATATTAGCTTAAATGTCAGTTCTGAATCAAAAAAGGTAACTGTTTTCCCTCCTCAGACCTACCAAAGAAACCAAAGTGTATACACAGCTCTAAGTATTAGCTGATTTTAGAAAAGTCACGCTACATTAAAATCAATCCAATACAAAGATCTGTTCTCCTCGTAAAAGTTATTTATCCGAGCCATCTCTATGACACATCTTTAGTTAAATGCACCAGAATCAAAGACTGAAAACCTGTATGTGTTCTTCGGTGTCGCTGAAGTTCATCGCTGCGAGTGAACCTTTTGCCACAGAACATCCAAGTACAAATAAATGGACGCTCTCCAGAATGCCAGCGGAGGTGAGCTCTCAAATGCGAAGTTTTCCCATATACTTTGCCGCACCCTGGTATGTGACAAATGTGTTGCTTCTTTTTTCCCAAGTTGGAGCCTCTGTTAAAAAAGAAAAAAAAAAGAAGAAAAAAAGGAAGTTATTAATTCTAATACATTCCTTCTAAATACTGGTCATACATACAGGTGGAGTTACATATACCAATAGATCTGCAAACAAACCTGAGCAGCTTCCCATTTGTGATTCAAATACAGTCCAGTGTACTCCATAAGAAGCTGGAACTAAATTCTATAATGCTATCCTGATTCTGCAATAAACTATATATATTCAACAGCATGTGAAATTTAAATGAGAAATTTAAACTTTAGCAAGCATACATGTATATGAAGTTAGAAATACAGTCATTACAGCAGTCTGTGCTACTTTGATGCTGAAGTGCCCGTATTATAAATTTCTCCCAGTTTCAGTTTTTACCATACCAAAGACAGTTTTGGCAAGGAAAACCACAAATGACTGCAACTGCCAAAATGGAAACTGGAGACTTTGGCAACTGGGAAGAGAACAGATGGGACTTTTGGCATCTTGGGGAAACCTGAGAAGCAGTTTGGGGTTGGAGGATGAGCATACTAACCTGAATATTTCCACTAAAAGGAGTAGCAGTGAAACAGCTGATCTTGCTGACATTTACATTAATTCCTTGGTACTTCAGGGAAAAAAAAAATCCATCAAAATGAACACATAATTCACAGATAGTATAATCCAGACTACTGAGCTTGATGCCTATTTTAAGATGCTGCGTCACTGAAATGGCAGGTGATTGATTCAGGGGAAGCATCTAACACAAAACCCTAACTTTTTTTTTTTTTTTTTTTTTTTAAATAAAATCACCAGAGAGAGAAAAGAGCCTCTGAAGACCTAGAGAGAGGTATCAGCCTGGCCAGTGCAGGGCATCATGATTGATTTTAGCCAATTTAAGTGTTTGCTGCTGCTGAAAGGGGCACTCCAGGGAATAGGTCTGGCTGACAACGCAGCTATATGAATGGTAAATGCTGGTACATGGGAGGAGATTGGAAAATGCAGCCAAGCATCAGGCTTGGATGTTCTATGGCAACAGCTTAAGTGGATTCTGAAATCACAATCTTGGGCACTCCACCCTCCAAGACTGATTATACAATTTTCAGTTGCCTCCCTAGGGCAATTTTTTCCCTTAAATTGGGTGCTCAACTTCTACTTAACTGTCCAGTGGCTGATGGATTTGCCAAGCAGCTATTAGACTTAGATTCTCATCCCTGCATTTGGAACAATTCTGGTTTACATCTAATGAGGGTGCAGGGTAAAATGCACATACACTTTAAGGAGCTAGCACTTGGAGCAAGCATTTCTGAACAGGAACAGAATTTAACTCACTCTAAAAACTCACAGTATCTAAAGGAAATTCCTAAACACCCAAGCACCTAAAACATTCCAGACAGTCTAGAAATGTAAGGAGATAAAATCAAATTAAGTCCTAGAAAATGTTTCTAAGAAGTGTCAATATAGAGCAATCTTCATAGTGCTTCATTAGGCATTTTGTCTCAGAAGAAAAAACTATCACTTTTACATACTATTATTTGCCACACCAATGTAGGTTTTGACTTCAGAACAAATGCAATGGCAATAGAAGTAGAAAGTCCAGAAGGCTTTTGACCCTGCTGTGGCAGCAGTAGACTTGTATGAGCCTATGGATATGGTGACAGAAGAGATTCTGCTTACCTATCCAATTTTTTTGGTTCTATCGCCACCCCTCAATCCTTAGCCTCACAGAAAGTTCACCTGCCTGTTTTAGCCAGCTTGTTTATTAATTTCATGCAAAAAATTCTCTGACACCTGACATCTTAAGTTCCTCCATCATTATTAGTCTTGTCAAGAATACTTTTGACTTAATTTTTCTCTTTCAAATGTCCCAAAAGAAGACCACTTCTTTGGACCAGAACAAGCATTGCCTTTTTTTTTTTTTTTTTTTTTTTTTTTTTTTTTTTTTTACACCTCCTACCTCAGCTGAAACATCCATTTTTTGTAACCTTTGCTATATCTAAACCGTCAGGTTCACACTCTTCTGTGACCTTCCCTCAAGCCAAGATGAAAAGCAAAATTAACTGTAATGTCAGGCATTTAACTTCTTACTATGCCACCTACACAAAGCTCAACATTCACAAGTTTTGAACATTCACTCAATCTCAAAAGCATTTAGCAAAACGTCTTTTAGATTGCCCACTTTCTTTTCCAGTTTCTCAGCCTCTGCAAACAGGTAGGCCACCACAAAACTCACTGTACCTGTAACAGTTCCAGTGGCATTCATCTACCAGCCCAAAATACCCAGCTCCTCAGACTCCAAGGAAGAAATTTTCTGTATTTCTTCTTTTGCCTTACTGCAACCAGTTTCACAGTTCTCAGGCTCTACATTCCACCTTCATCTAATGATTCAGTTCTAGACAGCTCTTCTTCAGATCCTCTTGTTTGGTGGCTCAAGGCATCCAGCAATTGTGGTGCAAGGCAAAGGAACGCCCATGGCTCCATTATACAGTCTCGGTAACTGAAAGAATTCTCCACAGGATCCTGCTATCCTGTGACTTTAATGGCCTGTCCAACTCCATATAACCCTAAGAAGTGCTCAGCTTTTGCTTATTATATTCTGCATTTGAGAATATATTTCTGTATATAGAATTTTTTTTTAATTTGGTATTTCATACTCACACATTCTCCAAATATACTGTAGCCTTCCCCTCCACAACAATCAGTACAAATATTTTTGTAGCTTTGTGTGACACAGTACATAAATGTGACACAAGCGACAGGAAATCACATCAAAATTCAACCATTTGAAGTTGCTTAATTGCACCACTGGTTTAGACTGAAGGAAACCACGGTTCAACTCATGGTCAGCCTACTGCATGTAGGTACTGTAGCATACATAATTCTAAGCACCTCACCTAACTGGTGACACAATTCCCTAGCAGACTCCAAGTTCAAAGTGAGGGGAAAGTTAGAGATTCACAGAATGAAATCCACAACACTGCTGTGAACGAGTAATTAAGTGTATTTACTCTACAGAGCTTTCAATATAGTCACCTACATGTTTGCTTCATGTGTGCTCTAAACTGACTGGATATGAGCCAAATTCTATCTGGATGCTTTGCAGCTGTGACACTCTGGCACTATGCCCTAACACGTCATGCTAAGAGGCCCTTCTTGCTGCACTGGCCAATAATCATCATCACTGAGTAAAAGGATACAACTCAGGCCTACTCCTCAACCAGAGTCTTCAAATCAATTAATATTTTAGTACATTTTAGCTTTGTAAAGACTGTAAACCACATTTCTCAGTAACCATGCAGAATGCAACAGTTTCAGCAGGTGACAGCTTCATTCACTGAGAAACTGGACTTTCAGTCCAGCACTACTTCCAGGAGAAACATCAAGTATTTCAAGGGTAAAACATACACTTTAGTTACTTTAAGAATGTGTATTTTAAAGTTACGTACATGAAGTGGTGCTTGCAACACTGGTCCTCTATAGATCCAGGCAGCAGTAGTTACATCTCAACGTAAATCCAGATGTAACTGAGAGGAGGGTGAACTTTCCACCTAACTTCAGGCACCCTACCTAGAAGCCTAATACAGTCTGTTTGGAATCAAGAGACATCCTTTGAGGTACATCTCTCTCACTCCACTTGCTTATTCCCTTCATTTACTACATAAGCTTGAGGCTATAAAGTTTTAATTTGGATGTTGTCTACCTTGATTTCAGCAAGGCTCCTGGCACTGTCTCCCTTAACATCCTCATAGGTGATCTTAGGAAGTGTGGGATAGA